CTCGCTACAATGAGTGAGTGGCCTTTGTGCCATTTCTCCATTAGTGAGAACGGTCTGTATACAGAATGGGTCCCTGGCTGTCTTAACAAAAGGCTTGGCTCCTTTATGTTGCTTGGGTCTCTGTCTTGTGGTGTCTTCCCTGCCAGTGTTTAACCTATCAGGTCACTTGTCTGAGCTGCATCGCCCCAGGTGTGAGCAGAGGTTAATAATGCTCATTCCTAAGACTGTTACAAGGAATGAGCGAGTCCATGTACGTCAAGCTAGAGGCTGGCCCTGGGGTGTCCTTCAGAAGTGTTTGCAATGATGAGGTGAACATGGGTGATCCTGTAGATGCTACTAAACCAATCAGGAAAGTGGGGCACAAAAACAGTCTGGGAAAGTCAAGGGCATAGGGACAAAGGATTTTCTAAAAATTCTTGACAAGGGGAAAAATGGTTTGGTTAAACAGTTTCAGAATGAATTCTTCTTAACCCATAGAAAAATCTACTTCCGAAGAAACAGGTTGGTGTACCTTTGAGCAGTTACTTAGTCTTGTTAGAGATTAGGAAACCAAAGAGTTGCTTTGATTTTGCATGTATGTGTTTTTTCGATAACCTCTGATTTATGCAATGATTCTGTTGTACAGTAGTAAGCATATCTTAACTGTACTTTTAAAACCACACGTGATAGATGCACACATACCTGCAGGTGTTCATGACTGATGGCATTGTGACGGTGGCTAGCATCCACTGTGCCCTGACGGTGAGCCCAGTACCTGGCTGTATGCTTTATTCATTGTGTCACCTCGTCTCCCCAACGACCCTCTGAGGAGGTTCTATCATCATCTCCATGTTTAGAGATGCAACGAAGACTTCAATATTTAAAAAGAGGCTATCACGATCAAATATCACACAGCCAGTAGCGTTGCTGGGCTCAGGAATGCGACCCGGGCAAATAGAAAACAACAGAATAACACCGCCAGCCCTTTCACTAAGATCCACTGACTGTGTACAGTTGCCCTGTTTCTCTCTGTCCCTATCCACCTGTCTCTGTATGGCTCTGTCTATGTCAGACCTGCCAGGCATGTCCTGAGAATGAGGACCTGCTCCGCTCAGTGAACACACATGATCACAGCCTCCAAGTGTAGTTTTACAAAGACAGGAAGCTAACTAATCTTTACCTACAACTTTGGATCGTTTTTCTGGTGGGAGTTCCCATCTCTCTCCTAGGCCCTTGCCTGGAAGCCTCTGGATGTTAACAGTCCATTACTAATCTAGAATGCCAACAAACCTCATGCACGTATGTCCACAGTTGTGAGCTTCCATTACACTGGTCCTCCAGGAATCTGAATGTCAGTTAAAATCTCACTCTCAGGCTCCAGTGCAGGGTGATGAGTGGTCTGAGAGGATGGAGAGAGGACTAACCTGCCGAGGGAGGGCAGAGAGGGAGGGTCACACCAGGAGCTGACAGGAACCCAGCCTCCAGGAGTTTGCTGTCTGTGAGAGAAAAAAAATAAGGCCCGATGCACAAGTCCATGTGTGAGGAGCAATTGGAAGTGGGTACCAAGTGGCTCAGGGCGTGTATGAAACCTTGTCTAGTGAGGACACATGCAGGAGCGCCAAGCAGAACCCTCCTTTGATGTGTGAAGGCATTGAGTTAAACGCCGTGGGGTGGAACAAGTAAACAGAATGGTGTTCGCCTTGTGACACAGGGCATCCTCTGCGTGTGGCATCAGAAGAAAGCTTTTGTTCCCAGAACTTGCTCAGTTTGTCTGGCATCATTCTCAATTCACAAACCCTTCTTCCTCGCTTGGGATCATTTTGGTGTGCAGAAATATTAGAAAAATATGGACTGGGACATTTTTTTCAGCATTAAAAACCAGGAAGTTTTTTTTACTGAAACAAGTTGTAGAACTTATTTACAAATCAAGTAACTACCCATGGTTTTATTATGGACAGTGACTAAGACCTTCACTTTTCAGATAAGGCTGTGGAAAAACACAGGTTAGAAATATGTTCCCCCAGAGTCATTCCGTGGAGTAAGCAGGAGGGGAGGCAGAGAGCCCAGTTCCGTGTCTTGGACCAGTGACCTCACACTGGCTCAGCTTCAGGCCTGAAACGCTGGGAAAATGTTATCAAACATGATAAAAGCAAAGGGCAGGAGGGAGAGAGCTGGTGGGGAGTGGCGGGGTGCAATAAGTTGCTTTAAATCATGGCTTTTCATTCGTATTTCTTATTTACACAAAAGGTTTTCCATATGTCTAACAACCTTTTAATAACACATTTCCATAAGAGAGTTTTAACAATAATCTCTTTTTCATTCATAATTTATTTTCAATATCCTGGTTTTTTAAACTGAAGAATGCAGCATAGTCCTCTAAAGCTGATATTCTTTCTCATCTGTGCATTCACAATGAAGTAGTCACTCAGTATACTGTTTCCATAGTGATCTTGAGATGCCCACATTAGCTTGTTTCTGAGACGGTCCAAAAGTACGTCACACGCTTAGTTTCATGTGTTAACATGTTACTGGCATAGATCTTTAAAAACACTCCTTTCCTGAGTTTCAAAATATAGAAAGGTGTGTTGTATTAGAGCTATTTCGTGTGCAAACCAGTCTTTTCAGTAAAGAGCTCTATCTTTGGAGTAGTAGGTATCTTTGTTAAAGAGTTCTTAATGAGAACTACCAAGAGAAGGATTATTAAATTTTTGTGAGAGGAAAATATGCTATAGTGAATTTGTAATTTTTTCCCCAGCAATGGCTTATAGAGGGAATTTTTCTTAAATGTCAAGTTATCTTATTCCCCAAGAGGTCAGGATATTTTTTTTAGAAGATGGATGTGGCCCAGTTAGTGGCCATCTCAATCAGTAGGAGGCCTTACCATCAGTCCCCTTTTACTGATGGCATTTGTGTACATTGAAGAGGAGACATATTATTCTGCCCCCTTTTCTGACAGCACAGAAGTTGACTTCACTTTAAAATCAGTTACTGAGATGTAACACAGAACAATATACTCTACATAAAACATGTTATTTAAAAAAAAAAAAAAAAGAAAACAGCTCCACGGGAATAAACACACTTGAGGAAGCCAGCCACCTGAATATTTCTTTTGGTCAGAGAACAGTGAAGGCCTTTTTTAGAGAATTGCTGGGAAATTAAACAATGAGGTTTTCATAGCATGCGGGAAGATTGAAACATAAGGGACTGAACTAAAACTAAGGCAATAATTGTTTTCAACACTTCATTTGTGGCTATTTTATGGTGGGCATGGAAAAGATGAGCTCTCAAACTATTTTGGCTCTATCCTCATCTTTGCTCTAAATCACTTTATCCCCATGGGAATGTACCCACCTGGGTCCTTTGGCCTCAGTCCTTGCTTTCAGAGATAACTAGCCCAATAAGCAACTCCAAGTTGACATGTCAATAGGAAGGTCTTCTACGTCACCCTTTCCTCCTTCTCCCAATTACACCATTGCGTTTCAAGAACAGCTTACCTGAAGCATTCCCTGCCACCCAGGTCCTCCCCCCCCCCAAAGGAGATGGTCCTAATGGTAAGGCATTCAGACTAGGCAGAAGGGAGGCAGTATGGAGACGTAGAATTTTCAGAGGAGCGGGTCTTTGAAACATCATTGTTTGGAGTCACCTTCATCTTTTGACCCTAGGTTAAAAGCTAATTGAGATTGTCATTCCAAAGAATAACTAAGACAAGACCAAATTTTCTCAGGGTCTTAAATTTAGATATTTCCACGAATCTTCACTGCAGATTTTCATGACTTAATCCAAACAGCAACTTGAGGAGATAGGGAATCAGAATGAGTTCTGGTGGGGAAAGCCAGACACAGCTTTCTTATACAATTAATTGCATGCTAAGTTGCCTTCAGCAATTCAACATTGAATTCCACTTTAATGATTCCAGTTTTTACTGGTACAAAAGAAAAATAACAAGGGGGAAATATTTAAATAAAATTATCTAAGCCATCATTTTAATTTTCAAAAGTGTAATTTTATTACCTTTACACATGGAATGGCTTTGGAGCTAGAATTTGTATGACTACATCAATATAGGATCGTATTTTTTCAGTAGAAATAGGTGTACATTCACTTTGTAACAACAAATTAATAGTTTCCAAATATTTAAACATTTTGGGGTCAATAAAAGGAGTCACATGATGGCTTAGTTATGACGATGGCATGCAGCTTTGGTAAGCAAATAGTAAATGGTTGGTGCTGAGAATAAGCAGCAAAATGAAAATAGATAAATTTATAAAATTTATGATTCATATAGGAAAAGAGATCCTTAGTGACAAACTTAGGAATTATTCTGCTATAAATATTGCTGATAACATCTTTCTGACTAATAAATAAGAATAAAAGGGTAGCCCAGGCCAGGTGGCTCGGTTGGAGCATTGTCCTTCTACCAAGGTTTCAGGTTTGATTCCTGGTCAGAGCCTTACCTAGGTTGTGGGCTCTATTCAGTCAGGGCACATACCTAAGGTATGGGTTCAATCCGCAGTCAGGGCAAGTACAGCAGGCAATCAATTGATGTTTTTCTCTCCCATTGAGGTGTCTCTCTCTCTCTCTCTCTCTCTCTCTCTCTCTCTCTCTCTCTCTCTCTCTCTCTCTCTCTCTCTATCTATCTCTATCTCTATCTCTCTATCTCTCTCTCATTTCTCCCATCCTCTCTCTCCAAAATCAATGGATCTCAATTATGTGAAATTCTTCTTCTGCCACTCTACCAGCTGGGCGGCTGTCCTGATTCCAGAAAGAACCAGCCATTTCTTATTACCTCATGACATCCTCTGCCCAATGCCTTGGCTAACAGATTAGCCTTTGTTGCCCGGGATCACTAATTTCCACTTGGACACGGCAGTTCTGTTGTTGGTCAGCTTTAGTCCTCCTCGCAGCCCAGGCAAACACACTGAAAATAAACACTGCCTCAACACTGAATGGCCTTCTGCCCATTCTCATGTCTGAAAGTCTACTGAAGATACTTTTTTTTAAAAGCTATTCTGGGATACTTCCTCTTTTATCCTGTTTATTGGGGTATGTTTGTCATCCACCGTTATGTTTTGAAGGAGATTCAAGATTGTGTAGCATGTTTAGGTGAACTGCCCCTTTCTCTTCCGTTTTAGGAATTCATTGTGCCTGAGCAGTCCAGGTGACACAGTATCACTGTTTTGGTTTGAGTGCTGAGAACAAGAGGAGGTCTGTGTGATGCTTTTTATTTCAGCAAAGCTTTCATTCGGCCAATAACAAAACAAAAGCTGTTAGAGTTCAATAGTATAGCACATTGTGCAAAACACTTGTCACTTTTTGAGTACTCTAATCAGGCAACTCCTATGTATAGTGAAAAAAGATGAAAGAGGAAAAAGAGGATGCTAAATGTATTTCTTTTAATGCATCTGCTCAGATGTCACCTTTAAAGAACAGGAGAAAAAAAAATATGGATAGAATACTGTGTAGCCATTAGCTTTAAATACAAATCAAACCAAGCTCTTTAAGAGAAGCTTGGATTATATTAGTTTGGGAGGAACTAACATTAGGATATTAATATATATTTATAAAAATGAATATTTATATTGGCCAAGGTATGGTGTGGAAGGAGGGGGGGGGGAGTCCTTTTTATAATCTTGACTGAAAATCAGCAAGATGAACTAAAATTCTGAATTGACATCTTTTAATGCAAAGCTTTTCATCCTTCAAGTAATTCATCTCCGGGAACAGAAAGTTGTTGTTTTTTTTAAATCACTATCAGTAAGAATGATATATTTCCTTGGTCTGGAAATTTCCAAGCCCACGATATTCTTCTGCCCTATCAAAATGTATTCACTGGGGAATTTTTAACTTGATACATTTCTTTTGAACTTAATCACCATTTCACATCTCGCTGGGTTTCGTGATTAAATGAGAAGAAGGGGATACCCCTCTGGCCCCGAGAGGGGCCACGCACTTGAGTGGCACTAACTTCTAGGTTCTGCCCCAGGAACACCGAAACCAGAAGCTGTGGGAGAAATGTCACTTCATCCGAGGGTAGTAGACTCATACGCTAACAGGAAGTCGCAAATTCATCTTTTTCTTTTTTTAATCTCCTCGTTGCTGAAGTATTTTGAGACACAGCACTCTGTAAATCACACTCCCTTTACATAGACCAAAATCCAAGCCCCTGGGAGCCGCTTTTCCCAGAGGAATCGCCAGGTAGCAGATGGGGACACTTTAGGATGGCTTCATTGGCAGGCAGGGCCTTCATTGCCTGTATTCCTTCTATCTCCTGAAAAAAGGTAAGAACGATAAAACCTCAGCTGCTCATTACAGGGTGAAAACCTAGCCCACACTCCAAAGAGTGGTTTTGCTTTTAGTTTAAAGCTGACACATATGCGTAAATAATTCAGAACTACAGGACAGAATTTACAACATAACACTTAAGAACAGGCTTCAAATACGCCGAGAGGTAACACAGATATATATATCATCTTTAAATTGCCAATTTCTCTACCCTCTTCAGCAAATGACTTCCTGGGATTTAATAAACTCTTTCCTTGACCAGAGGTAAACAGAAAATAAAGACTGTTTTTGCTTTTAGATGTCTAGCTATCCAATTTAGTAACTATAAGTGGGTACACAACCACCTCTCTCTCTCTCTCTCTCTTGCAGGTGGTGCTCACCAGGAAGGGGAAATTTGTGGTTTGAATTCTTCATGCCTCATCCTCTGAGAGCTGGAGGCCTGCTGGAGGCTGTATGCTGTTAATGCTAATCGTGATAGGGGTTTTTACCTCCGACTGACTCCTACATGTTAGCATTAACAGGGTACACTGCCTGATACCAGCGTTCACACGGAACAGACGTGCTGTGGGAGGAGGACGAAGAGGCATGAGTCACCCTGCCACAGAGACTCGGCTCCGGGCTTCACTGTAATTTCTCAAACCTTCATCTGGTCCCCGGGCAGTTGCACCTTAAACTACATTTTAGGAGTTGGGTCATTTTAAAGATTTAGCAGCAATATGTATTCCGAATGAGAACACTGTTAACTTGAATCAGTCAAGCACACATCTTTGTTTTTACCTTTAAAGGAGAACACATTCGGGTCATTTTTCATTCTAAGTTGTGGTTTGTTCATTAGAACTGCTCACAAGCCCTTTCAAAGCTTCAGCTGGAAGACATGGGGACGAAAGACATTCTGAAACAGGTTTCTAGGATGTTTTTGTTGTGAGAAATTAGAAAGACCACTGATTGTCTAGCAACATTTTTAAAAAGATTTAGAAATTAGTATTTCCCCCATGTAGTAGCTTTCTATTTAGACTTCAGTTTAAAATTAATACTTTTATACAAATTGCAAGCTATAAAAATAGTCACAGGGATATAAAATACAGCATAGGGAACATAGTTAATCCTATCTAATAAAAGTATAATATGCAAATTGACTATCACTTCAACACACAAGATGGCTGCCCCCATGTGGACACAAGATGGCCAACAGGGGAGGGCAGTTGGGAGGGACCATGCCTACAAGGGAGGGCAGTTGGGGCAATTATGCCTGCAGGGGAGGGTAGTTAGGGGTGACCAGGCCAGCAAAGGAGGGAAGTTGGGGGCAACCGGGCCTGCAGGGAAGGGAAGTTGGGGGACCCTGGACTGCAGGGAAGGGCATTTGGAGGGTACCAGGCCTGCAGGGGAGGGTGGTTAGGGTGACCAGGCCTGTAGGGGAGGGCAGTTAGGGGCAATCGGGCTGGCAGGGGAGGAATTAGGCATCAATCAGGCTGGCAGGGGAGTGGTTAGGGGGTGATCAGGCTGGCAGGCAGAAGTGGTTAGGGGTAAGCAGGAAGGCAGGCAGGTGAGCAGTTAGGAGCCAGTAGTCCTGAATTGTGAGAGGGATGTCCGACTGCCCGTTTAGGCCCGATCCTGGTAGGATAGGGCCTAAACGGGCAGTCGGACATACCTCGAGGGGTCCCAGATTGGAGAGGGTGCAGGCTTGGCTGGGGGACACACATCCCATGCACGAATTTCATGCACCAGGCCTCTAGTAATGCTATAACAGCCATGTAAAGTGCTCCATGGTACTAGACTTCTGATGGAGATTGCTTCATAAGGTAGATAAATGACTAAGCACCAAGTTATATACTTGAAATTAATAGTATATGTCAACTATAATTGAAAAATAAATTTTAAAAAATACTTTTACTTGAACCTTAAGAAAAATAGAAAGGCTATTACACTGAATTTGTATTTCTAAAATGAAATAGTTTGATCAATCAGCATGGCAAATAATGTCTGAGAGCTAACTCCTGGTTTTTTTCCTACAAAATACAAAGGCTTAATTGAAAAATTTTGTATCTGGAATTAAGTCCCAAACCTAGGTTCAGCAGCTTATTCACATTGTAATGTCCAGGAGTCAGAGAATCCACTTTTCTTCTATAAGCCTGTTTCTTCGTCCAAGGAATGGGGCTAATCCTTTACAAGGTTGGTTTGAGGTCCAAAAGATAGAGAACTGTTTTGTAAAACATATAGTGCTACATTGATGTTATAATTAACATAACCCAAGTACCAGTCCTTCCTACTTTGTTAGAGAAAAGTTATTGATTTGATTGGCAGAATTTTTAAAGTTTGGATCTCCATACAATTTTTCTCCATACTTAACTCTATCATTTACAAATAAATAGCCAATGGTAATGGTTAGCAACTCTTCCCAACATTTTGTCAAACAGTTACACACTATAACCAAATAAATCTCTTGAGTCTCTAGTGATTAAAATTAATTTTATGGCCTTTTGTAAGGTACAATCTGTAATTTCAGAAGTTATTCACACAGAGAGAGACAGTGGGGGGGGGGGGCGGATTATGAAAATCCTGAGGGGAACATTCCTGATTCCTAGGACATAGTCTTCTCACTGAGGGCACCCCCTTGGCCTAGCCCCATTTCTGTTCATGTTGTGTGAGCTGCCAACATAAATTCTCCTCTTAACCCTTGGAAAGAACATTTGGCTCTATGGAGCTCCCATGTCGGTGTGTCACATTCAAGGGTGTTTCTTTGGACTATTCTTTTTTTTTTTTTTTTTTAATATTTCTACTGATTTTTAGAGAGAGGAAGGGAGAGGGAGAATGAGTCTTGCACTCTCCCCCACCACCACCACCACCACCACCACCACCACCACCATCAGGGATCAAGTCCACCACCCAGGCATGTGCCCTGACTGGGAATCAAACCAGCAACCTTCCAGTGCATGGGACAATTTCCAGCCAACTGAGCCACACCGCCCAGGGCTACTCATTGCATCTGCATGTTTATCAACAAGAATAGTCCTTATTTCGAGTCCCGGTTCTTCAAAAAAAAAACAAAAAACTGAGTTTGCTGCATAAAGCCACAGAGTCCCAGAATGTTAGGCCTGGAATAAGACTTTGATGAGAATCCAGTATTGCCCTTCTGCTGTTAGAATGAAAAGCTATAACTAAGGAAAACTGCTGCAGAATGCCTTATGTGGAGAGCACTGGAATACACGGGTGAAACATAAGCGAGTTAATCTTTCTAAGCCTCAGTTTCCTCATCAGTAAAATGATGAATGTATTTCATAAGGATGGTTGGCTAACTGAGACAGTGCACGTGTATAACTGTGTATAGTAGTAGGAGGGGACTAGAACCACCAGGGGGATCACCATGTAAATTATATATTTGTCTGACCATTATGCTGTATACCTGAAACTCATAAAATAATGTTGAATGCCAACTGTAATTGAAAAATAAAAAGAGCACAATATCTATTATGCATTAAGTGTTAAATAAACAGTAGCTTTAAAACTTTGTTCATGGTAACTATTTCAATCATCTAAATCAAATATCTACCATAGCAGACCTCCCAAAGGACACAATAGACCTCCGATCTATCCTTAGTTCCATGATGTTAACCCAGGGGACGTAGATAATGCCAGGGTCTCTGGGTTTTCACTAATGCCCAACTCTCTTCGGCTTCTAGTCTCTGATCTGATCTTTGATGCAGTCCTCCTGACCAGTGTAGCCAACCATTCCAAAAATTCTTGGAGCATGAGTAAGACTGGGTGTGTTTGGTTTGGAGGAAGTGTTAAGTAGCTATGAAGTGTGCCTGTGTTGGGGGGAGGAGGGAGCAGTGAAAAACAGAGTGGCTAAAGAAAAAGTGGGTTCTGTGGTAGATGGAGAAGGTAAAAAGAGCCCAATTTTGTACCCGGAATACTGAATTGAATGAGGCACTAAAATATGCAAGACATGGTTTCTTCTCTTTAAGAATTGAAGAATGTCAAGGGAGTTGCTAGGATCTGACTTACTTTCCCCAAAACTTGCTGAATTAGAGACCAGACCTTTTCTATTCGCTGTCAGCAGCTACATGAACCCAGAAGTTAAAAATACAAAGAAAACAAAATAGAATAAGGAGGAAAAAAGTGAAGTCGGGGATTGAAGAATATGTAGAAAGAATATTCTAGGAATATTAGAATTTTCCTGAAAACAGACGATAACCAATACCTCAAAAAAAGTGGAATTACTTGAAAAGGGAGCTTTTAGGAAATAAAAAGTCCATAAGTGGGAAGTACTCCAAAAGAGCTAATGTGGTTCTCAACCAATGACTAGAAAACAGTAAAACCAACCAGTAAAATTTACACATAAGTGTACAGCTTCCCACTTTGGATTTCAAATTCTCTCATGGCAATAAGGATAAGGAAATAATGTTCATAGAGGGTTTTTTTTTCTTTCCCATTACTGTTGTGTTTTTTGCTTGTTTGTTTGTTTGTTTTGTTTTTTTAATATATTTTATTTATCTTTTACAGACAGGAAGGGAGAGAGATAGAGAGCTAGAAACGTTGATGAGAAACATCGACCAGCTGCCTCCTGCACAACCCCCACCAGGGATGTGCCCTCAACCAAGGTACATGCCTTTGACCAGTATCGAACCCGGGACCTTTCAGTCCGCAGACCGACGCTCTACCACTGAGTCAAACCGGTTTTGACAGTTACTATTGTGTTTTAAGCTGGCCAACACATATTCCTAACCACCTAAGTAATAGATGTTTTTGAGGTGGCTTTCTCAGATACCATCCCAATGATGTCTTCTATATCTCCAATCATCCTTCCTTGTAGTGCTCAGTAATTTCCAGTCCTCTAGCACTTAACGCACTGCACTGTGATTTCTCTGTGCTAAAGGAAGTGATACCCTTCAAGGCTGATCCACCATCTGCACATTCCCATCCACTCAAATGTTTACTGACTCAATCACCATTATTATTCCAAGTCCAACTGTAAAAACAGAAGTGAGTTTAAACACAGTGAACATTTAACTTTATACTGATAGGCTCAAATAGGTGATTTTTGATGAATAATTCATTATAGCAAATAAAGACTGAAAAGTTCTGCATATAACTGAAGAGAGCTAGGACAGTGGTTCACACCTCCGAGACTTGTCAAGGTGCAGGATCCCAGCCTTCCACCCCCACCTCCATCCCCCGAGATTCTGATTCTGTAATGGAGGTCAGAAACTACCTTTCACCAGGCTAACCAGGTGATCCAGATGCAAGTGGTTCATAAACCAACTCTGAAAACTGGTTTATACCCAGTGCTACTGCTGATATGGCAACCAGAAATGGCACCCAGCAGAATCCATACAAATTTAATGTCAGTTTACACACCATTCACTGTATAATGAGAGGTTCTGTGACATGGGCTGAGTGATTAGATGCCCTGTCGTTGACCTCTTAGGGGGATGGCAGCAATTGAATTTCAGGTCTTGTTATCCCTCTCGAACAAAAACATTCTAACCATCTCAAAAAAATCCACCTGACTTGAAAGTTCCCCACAGAAAATAGCTGCCCTGTGTTCAAACATCAGCGGCAGCCAATCAATGGCCACGTACTCTCCAGACTCAAACTACAAGCTCCTGTTTGGAGCAGTAGTTAGGGGAGGTCAACAAGAAGGGATTGGGTGCCAGCCCCACCTTGCAAAGAGTGCACTGACTAATGAAACAATCACAAAATATCACTGCCATGCTGTCTCCCTCTCCCACCCCTATGCTGACAAAACTTCCCAACCATCATACCCAGTCTCCACTTAGGAAAATCCTATCCTTCCCTAAATGCGGTCAGCTCAGCAATTTCTATTCCCTTAGCCCATGCCAAGCACACAGAAAATGAACTCTGAAAAAGGTCACCCCCAGAAATGATCTTTCTCCTCTGTTCTTGGAAGCACAGCGTGTAGCTCTCCTGTACAAGTGCTTTACATCATGCCCCACACGTGTTATTTGCGTAGGCGTTGCCCTCCCTTCTGGATCATAAGCTCCCGCAAGAAAGGAACATCAGTTTCAACTTCTCTCACTCCGCTCAGGGCCTTGCTCACAGTTGCCTAAGTGGAATGGGAAAATGTATCCAAGTCTCCACTGACTTTGGAAACATGGAATGTTCTGTTGCTGGAGACTATCTGTACCTGGCATACAATCCCAACTTCAGGAACTGTTTTTCCTTGTTGACTTGTATAGACGCATTACAGATAGCTCAAGCATCAGTTTGGCTTTTCCTAAATTCTGCAAATCATGAAGGTAGTCTCCATATTTATTTTAAGAAAGTCCATAGTTAAAAATGTGTAGCTAGGAAAACGTATCCTCAATGGTTATCAATAAAAGAATAAATCAACCATAGACCATACAGTAAATGGAATACTACAGACCCTACATGTATCAACCATCTCTGCGTGTTATTACATGGAGCAACATGCTAAATGTGACAATATAACGCTGAGTAATAAAAGCAAATTGCAAAAGGACATGTGTCATGAACCCAATTATGTTTAGTTTTAAAACCGAAAATTGTATTTGTGAATCATGAAGAGTAAAAATATGCAGGGTAGTGTTTCTTCTTGGAAGGAAATGACATGAGGAAGACTTTCAATGAATAGGTAGATACACAGCATCTGTTAAACGTGAACAAGATTCTATGAGCAAGCAAAAGAGCTTGCAGAAAGGAAAACATGCTTGACATAATGAGAACTACATTTTTTTAAAATTAGAATATAAATGCAAGGAAAATAAAAGGATACAGAGGACCAATAAAGAAGATCCAAAATCCAACTAAATGATGTTAAATAAACAGAGAAAGTAAAAAGGAATCTTTTTTTTTAAAAAAAAGAAAATTTCCTAGAGCTCAAGACAGATGTCAACATTGAAAGTACCAAAGGGATGAAAAAAAAAGATAGAAGGAGATATACACAAGTGGAAAAATAAACTGTGTTCATGGGTTGGTAGAATTAATATCATTAAAATGTCCATATTACCCAAAGCAATCTATAGGTTCAATGCAATTCCTATTAAAATACCAATGGGTTATTTCACAGATCTAGAACAAATACTCCAAAAATTTATATAGAACCAAAAAGACCCCGAAGAGCTGCAGCAATCCTGAGAATGAACGAAGCTGGAGGAATTACAATACCAGATATCAAGTTATACTACAAAGCCACTGTAATCAAAACAGTCTAGAACAGGCATATAGATCAATGGAACAGAATAGAAATCTTAGAAATCAACCCAGTCCATTATGCTCAATTAATATTTGACAAAGTAGGCAAGAGCATACAATGGAATTAAGACAATCTCGTCATTAAATGGTGCTAGGAAAATTTTCCAGATCATTACAAAAAATGAAACTATCCCACCAACTTACATCATACACAGTTTAATTCAAAGGCTTAACTGTAAGATCTGAAACCATAAAAATCCTAGAAGAAACCATTTTGAGGCAGTGAAATCTCAGACATCTCTCATAGCAATGTTTGCCAATACATTTCTAGGACAAGAGAAACAAAAGAGAAAATAAACAAATGGACTAAATCAAAATAAAAGCTTCTGAACAGCTAAAGAAACCATCAACAAAATGAAAAGGGTGTCCATTGTACGGGAGAAAATATTTGCCAATGACACCTTTGATAAAAGGTTAACATCTAAAATATATAAAGAACTCATACAACTTCACAAAAGGGAGACAAACAATCCAATCAAAAAATGGGCAAAGGACCTAAATAGACAATTCTCCAAACTGGACATATAGATGACCAAGAGACATAAAAAAATGTTCAAAGTCACTAATCATCAGAGATGCAAATTAAAACAGCAAGATGTCACTTCACACCTGTCAGAATGCCTACCATCAACAAGTCAACAAATGACACATGCTAGCGAGGTTGTGGAGAAGAAAAGAAATAAACCTAGTACACTGCTGGTGGGAATGCAAACTGGTGCAGCCATTATAGAAAACAGTATGGCATTTCCTCAAACATTTAGTCATGGACCTGCCATTTGGCCCTTTAATCCCACTTCCAAGAACAGAAACACATGTGAGGTCAGACAGGGACTAGGATGGGCTAGAATGGGTCAATGTGGGGGGAAAAGAGGACATATGTAATACTTTCAACAATATTCTTTTTAATAAATAATAAATTAAAAAATAAGAAAATACCAAGGAGAGTAACTGATTATCTAATTACAAATAAAATTTTAGCATTTTACACACCAAGAATAGTAAGGACCTTAAAAGTGTCCATAGTGTATACAAGTGTATGGCAGAATGGGAGATGGAGAGGAGGCAGCATTGCAGAGAACAGCCTATATAGAAAGGAATAAAATCAAACTGATATCAGACTTCTCATTAACAACATCAGATGCCAGAAGATCACTGAGTTGCTGTCAAAGACGTGATAGAAAATTGTTTTTTAATCTAGAATTCTATAGCCAACAAGTTGATCAAATATAAGTTGCAAAACGAAGTCACTTTCGACATGCCAGGACTCTCCCTTGAACACGTTTTCTCGGGACATGAGAAAGTTAATCAAGGGAACAGAAAGATATGGACTCTAGGAAAAAGTAGATCCCTCCCAGGGGTGAAGAAATAAATCTTGATACAAAACCTGTGCACTAAATCCAGAAAGCAAGTATTCAGACCAGAATGGAAATTCTTTAAAAATATATTTGTATTGATTTCAGAGAGGAAGGAGAGAAACATCAATGATGAGAGAACCATTGATTAGCTGTTTCCTGCACGCCCCATACTGGAGACCGAGCCTACAATCTGGAACCCTTCAGTCCACAGGCCGACACCCTATCCAGTGAGTCAAACCCGATAGGGTGGGAAGAAATATTTTGGCAAAATATTTTTAATATCTCAACTTGCCCAAGGCATGGGGAAACAGGTACTCTCAGACTCTATTGTTTGACTGTGTGGCAAAAGCTTTTAGAGGCTGAGATCTGGTAACATCTGTCACTAATTCCACTACCAAAAACTATTCCTACAAAAGTAGACACATGAACAGCATAAAGTGGTACATAAGAACATGTGAGTGAAATTACTTAGGTTCAAATTCCAGCTTTACTACTTGCCAGTTCTATACTCTTTCAGTTTCCTTGTTTACCAAACGGTAACACCTACTCAACAGGTTGTGAGGATAAAATAAAAGGTTCCATGTGAATCACCAATATATAAGAAATAATCAGTTAACTTAGTAAATAATCTATCCACAAAACACTTGGCATTGTGCACAAGGATCTTTACTGAACCACTTTAAAGTAATGAGAAATGGAAATAACTAGCATGATCCTATTTGTTTTTAAAAGATTACTTTTGTATTTGTACAACTGTGTGTGTGTATGTGTGTGTGTGTGTATATATATATATATATATATATATATATATATATATATATATACACACACACACACACACATATATATATATATGTCTAAGCGACAGGCCGACTGGCAGTAGGTGTGACGCGCACTGACCACCAGGGCGCAGACATTCAACACAGGAGCTGCTGAGTGACAGCAACTTTGCAGAGTGCCCTCTCGTACTTCCGGACCCCTCAGGGGATGTTGCACTGCAGGTTTCAGCCGGATCCCCTCAGGCCAGGCTGAGAATCCTGCTTACTCCACAGATGCCCTTCGAGCACCAGTGCCATCCCAGGTATGGCCGGCAGGGGGGACTGTGGGAGGTTGGCTTCGGCACATGTCTGGCCCATCTCGCCCAGTCCCACCCCGCTGGCCACCTTCTAATTTCCTTTCAATGTGCACAAATCCATGCACTGGACCTCTAGTATAGTTATACATGTAGAAAGAAACTAAAAGGAGAAAACAGGCCAAAGTGTTACATCTGGGGACTGTGAGGTGACAGGTTATTTCTGCGTAAAATTTTTATTGTGAACAACATGAGCTGAGAGAAAGAAAAAAAGTAAACATCAATATAAATTTAGGGAGAAAGAGATAGATGATCTTTATGAGCACACACATATGTTACATAAAAAACTTTTATTTTAACTTACTATACATGTTTAAATTTTATGAAGCTACTAGGTAGATGCACTTTCCTCTGCAGGTTTAGTTTCATCTGCAGGTTTAGAAGCACTTTCCTCTGCAGGTTTAGTTTGATCTTCAGTTACCTGTAAAAACAGAAATAGCTTTACTTTTCTAATAAGCAGTTTTTGTTTTATCCTTCACCCACCATTTAAAAATCACTCCATAGTCCTTCTCTTCCAATGACCTTTGCCTGCCTCCTTCAATAGTAATTATAACTGAAAGTTAACTAGAAAGAGAGGAAAACTTATAAGGCCAAGTTCTCATTATAAATTATCAAGTAAAGCACAACTCCATTAAAAATATAACTATATAGCCTGAGGCTATATCTAGGCTTCTCCAGTTTGTCATTTTATTGGGAGGTATAATTCTATTTTGAACATAGAGTATTACAGGCTTAGTACTAATAGGTGTCCGTATGTTCATACAGTAAGTCCTCACTTAATGACATCAATAGGTTCTTCGACTTAAATCAAACTGCGCATAAAGAAACGAATAATACTGTAAGCTAACTGATACAACAACAGTTAATTTTCTACAGCATCTCATCTTTATAACAAAACATTAAAATGAAGGAAACAACCTGCTGTGTATTACTCTATGTCACTTAGACACATCAATTAAATAGGACTAATCTATTCCTTATCACCTAAAAACTTGCCTCACTTCCTGCATTATCTATTTCAATGAAGGCTCAACACAGTTGCTCACACTGGGCATTGGTGAATCCACAATTCTGTTACCTGATAGTCCATCAACAGTCCTAACTCTACCTTAGTAACTTTCACAGCCATTCTCGCTGCCGTGCCTGAACTTGAGAACCTCATCATCTCCTATCTTCCTAAGAAGAGTGCTCACTGAAGTTGCAGCTACTTTCCACACCACCCCCAGAATGAGCTTTTAAATCAATCAACAGGAATAGCTGCCAATAGGTCACTACCTGTTAAAATTCTCATGACCCAAATCACCTTCAGGAGGGGGATGCAGAAGCTAAGTCACCTTTAGGAGGGGAATGCAAATTCTAAATTGGGGAAGATGAGCCCTTGATACACTGTTTCAACAAATTTCATGTGACTGATTGTACAGTTAGATTCGTCTTACATTCACCATGCTCTCCTTACCTCCATGCCTCTATACAAATATCACCCCCAACGCATCCCCCAGCAAATTACCTGCCTGGCCCACTTTCATTCATCCTTTACAACCAGCTGAAGAGACTCTGATTGCTGGGAACCTTCCTTAACCAACCCCCCAGCTTGGTCTGGGTTCCATTCCTCTGTGGGAGCCCCAGAGGTACTCCTGAACTGTCTGCTTATGTCTAGTTACTGCATGAAAGTAACTTCCGTGGAGAAAGTGAATTGATTTTATTCATTTTTGTATGCACAGGTTCTGCCATAAAAACACTTGGTAAGTCCATGTTAGCTGAATCAATGATCATATGTTTAACCTTTTAGGAAACGGCTCTAGGGTCAAGCATCAGGCTGACCTGTGGCAGGGCCACAAACAAGTCCCAGCCCGGAGGCCAGAGCTCTCCTGGCATAATTAAGCCTGGCCTTGTAGCCCTCCCTAATTCCTTCCTAAGTAGCTGACGGGCTGTGGGAGGTACAGCAAGTGTTGACGAAACAAGAACATGTGTATACTTGTTAATCTACCCTTGTTTTAATCAGAATATAAAATGAAGCATCGGCTTGCAGGCTGGGTCTTTTGTGTCCTCAGCCAGGCCTGGGAGAGCCACCGGGCCCCAGCTGTATTCTCTGGTCTGTCTTTTCTTCAGTCCTTCACCGCCCCCCCTCAGGTTCACCTTTGGCCGTGCTGGCGCGGCACATAACCTACTCTTTTTATTTATTTTATTTTATTTTTTTAATATATTTTATTGATTTTTTACAGAGAGGAAGGGAGAGAGTTAGAGAGCAAGAAACGTCGATGAGAGAGAAACATCGACCAGCTGCCGCTTGCACACCCCCCACCAGGGATGTGCCCGCAACCAATGTACATGCCCTTGACCGGAATTGAACCTGGGACCCTTCAGTCCGCAGACCGACGCTCTACCGCTGAGCCAAACCGGTTTCAGCTAACCTACTCTTTTTAGACAAGCACAATGGACAGTAGAAGAAACCTGAACCAGAATTAATGTTTCTACAGTCTAGGTTCCTATGTCTGCTATTTTCCTGCATTTTTTCCCCCTGCTTTAAAGTATTCAGTTATTTTCCCTTCTTGAGTTTCCCTTACTTTACACTCATTCCTTCTCTTTCCTTCATCTAAAATGTTCATTGTAACCAACCAAAAAGACAAAGTTATTCAGTCCATTCAAATATATTCTCTCATCAAAATTACATAAATTTTACACAAAACCATTGTGACTAACAATAAGTTCTACCTATAAGTTTATTAATAAAAACTAAGTATAAACATCATCATAAAAATAATCAATAAATAATTATTGGGTAAGCCCCTGTATGCCAAATGTTGGGCTCAAAATTTGGGATTATACATATCAATATATAACAAGCCCTGAATGGGTTAACAGACTGAGTGTAAATGCACTAGCAAAAACAAGCAGAAAACAACATGAGGAGGTATATAATCCCCGAAATTGTACAAATGGATATTTGGTAAGCAAGTATTCTGAGAATGTTTCATGGCGAAGGTATTGAAGAGTAGAATGAAAATAGACAAAAAGAGAGTGGGAATGAAATCCAGATGGAAGAACTGCGGGAAAGAAATTAATAAACTTGAAGACAAGTTTGATGTGTGCTGATTAGTATGTTTGCAAGCTTGATGGAAAATTAGGGGAACCAGGAAAGGCTTCATGTGATGCGGCTGGATTACACAGGACATCTATCAGATAATTTAAGTAAAATATCAACGCCTAACCTATGAAAGGTTGACTAGGGACAGTAATGGTCAAGAAAAATCATCATTCCTACTTATGAAATCTAAATGGTAATGACAGCATAAACTACAAAAACGCAAGTATTTAAATTTGTTTTTCAGGACATTTGCACATTTAATGTCAATAGTCAAGACAGTTTTAAAATATATCTGACAAATCTTTATCCTTGATGTTCATTAGGTATACAAAAATATTACTGTAAGACCCAATTAACACCATACAACCTTTAAGAACTATTACTACTATATCGAATATTCTTATTTCTCTTCAAGTTCTCTAGTATCATTTCCATATTAATAAACAAACTCAAAAGAGGATTACAAACTATAATTTTTCTCTTACCAAAATACTGCTGGGTAAACAACCATAAAACTGCTTTAGCTACTGAGATAACTAATTTATTTTTTTCTTCCTTTCTCTTTCTTTTTTTGTTGTTATTGCTTAATTTCAATGAATGTCTTTGTAGAAGAGTACTCACTGGCTGTTAAAAACACTTACCAATTTCCGAGACCTTTCCAATAGCTTAGTCCATATCGTATAATGTGCCTTGAAAAGAAAAGGTTTATTATGAAAAATAAATCAGTAAAGTTAAAATAAAAGGGGCTGAGTCTTTGTTTATATATTTATACATACACACACATACACACACACACTAGAAGCCCAGTGCACGAAATTTGTCCACGGGAAGTCCCTAAGCCCATCCTGCACTCTCTCCAATCTGGGATCCCTCAAGGGATGTCTGACTGCCCATTTAGGCCAGGATCGGGCAGTTGGACATCCCTCTTACAATCCAGGACTGCTGGCTCCCAACTGCTCGCCTGCCTGCCTTCCTGATTGTCCCTAACCACTTCTGCCTGCCAGCCTGATCACCCCCTAACCACTCCCCTAACAGCCCGATTGATGCCTAACTGCTCCCCTACCAGCCTGTTTGCCCCTAATTGCCCTCCCCTGCAGGCCTGGTCCCCCCAACTACTCTCCCCTGCAGGCCTGGGTCCACCCAACTGCCCTCCCCTGCAGGCTTGATTGCTCCCAACTGCCCTCCCTTGCAGGCCTGGTCCTTCCCAACTGTCCTCCCCTGCTGGCCATCTTGTGGCAGCCATATTGTGTCCACATGGGGGCAGCCACCTTGTGTGTTGGGGTGATGGTCAATTTGCATCTTACACACCTCTTTCCCCCAGAGAGGAAGGAAAAGGGAGAGAGAGATAGAAACATCAATGATGAGAAAGAATCACTGATCAGCTGCCTCCTGCATGCTCCATACTGGAGATCAAGCCCGCAACCCAGGCATGTGCCCTTGACCAGAACTGAACCCGGGACCCTTCAGCCTGCAGGCTAACGCTCTAACCACTGAGTCAAACCAGCTGGGTGGGGACTGAGTTTTTATACAGGTTCTAAACAAAACAAACACATAAAGAGTTAGTCAGTACTAATGAGGCTAAATGGTTATAAACATGGGTTAGACTCGCAAGGGTCCTCAAACTTTTTAAAGTGGGGCCAGATCACGATCCCTCAGAGAGCTGGAGGGCCGGACTATATGAACTACTAATTCCTACTGTAACACCTCGGCTGCGCTCACTGCCCAAAAAACCTGGCGGGCCGGATCAGACTCCTCTGCGGGCCGCATGTGGCCCGCGGGCCGTAGTTTGAAGACGCCTGGTAGAGTAAGGGAAAAGGTACCATGCAGAACAGCTGCTTTGTTTGGCATTCAAGAAGAAGTCTTAAGCCCTGAATATGCCATTCTTCCTCTGCTGTTCTTAATCACTACCGTCACTGAGAGCATTCCTTATAATGGAAGAAAAATCTGCCACCTTGCCCACAGACTATGGTTCTTTCCTTAAGTAGCCAGTTTCAACATGCTACAGTTATGGTTTTTCAAACCATAATCAAGCACAAGGAGAGGTTCATTAAGAACCGACTATGTCATCATCACACCGAAATGGCAGATCTAGAGATTAGCAAATCACCCTCAAGAACAAGTAAAAATAAGAGACAATAGTAAAACTGTAGAGCTAATTTCCTTAATCCTTCACAATCGTATGTAGCGGAGGATTAATCAGAATTCATTAATAAAAACTCAAAGTGCATAATGACCACATCAATTTTATTAAGTCAGTTGAAGGGGTTACTGAGGGACATGGGTGGGCCAGTGACCACTTCATAGTGAAGGAGCTGCTAATACTTATAATAAATGGTAAATTACTAACCATGTACATGCCAATCCTTCTGGAGAAAAGACCTGCGTTGGTATGTTTAAAGGGAAAACCATGCCTAACTCAGGCAGAATGAACAGCTGGTGCAGAAACCTTACAGCAGGGGAGGAGAACACACAGCCATTGGGCCATATTAAGGCCCCAGAAATTATTTGGTCTGGCCTTGCCAAGGCAATCCCAGATGGGACTCAGAATTCAATAAATTTAGAAGCTTTCTTCATAGCAACATAAATTTCTATTAAGTGAATGATGTTATAAATTTATTAATAAAAAATATATATAAGAAAAGAATTAGCAAGGGTGAGTGAGAGCAATATGGAACATGATAGACTTTGGCTTATGACTAGACTATCAAAATTAGGAAGAGCATGCCAAAATAAGGCCAAAGGGCATTCCAGATCTTACCAGTGTGCACTCCAGTATTCCTCGTGCACCCTCTCCTATACTAATTTGAAAGATTATAAATGCTCTCTCTCTTTTTATTTTTCCAACTAATGCTTCTCCTTCAAATTATGTTTACATCCTGTTTTTTATTATCTGTTTATATCCTGTTTTTAATTATGTTTTTAAATCATAAACTCAAGTTCATAAACCTTCATCATCATACAACTTAATAGAAATTAAAATGTTATATCCTTCATATTGGTATAAAAATCAAGACTAACTCATATGAGGGATATAATGATCAACATAATTTAATGATCAAGAATAGATCCAGAGACAAATGGTAGGGGAGGGATGTGGGGTTAGAGAACGACCAAAGGACTTGTATGCATGCATATTAGCATATCCAATGGACAAACACTGGGGTGGTGGGGGCTTGCCCAGGGTGGCAATGGCTAAGGGGGGGGGGGGGGGGGGGGGAGATGGGGAGGAGGATCAAAGTGGAAAAAGGAGACATATGTAAAACTTTAGATAATTAAAAAAAAAAATCAAGACCAAAATTACAACCATACCCAAATTGGATGACCTGAAACTTTCCCTTTACTTACTCTTAAGTGAACAGGCAAAGAGAGACCTTGAAATCTTCGTGTAAGACTTGACTCGGTGGCCTGCAGATTATGAACCGCTGACACTTCAAACTGGGAACAAATACTTGTTCTTGGAATAAGAGGGCCTTCAGTCACATCAATGAAGTCACCAAATCTGATTTGATTTTAAAAATAAACAAATAAAACCTCAAAATCAAATGATTTACAATACATTGGGGAGGGGGGATCTATCCATTCTCTTTACGTCCCTAACCAAGAGCATTCTACATATTTCATTTCAGTTTCAATGGCCATGACATAAAAATCTCAAGTGAAAAAGTTAAGTGAACCTTCTTCTAGATTAGATAAAACTTCTTCTAGATTACATATAACTTCTTTCTAGATTGATATAACTAGAGATTTTTAAGATCACTAAGCACATCATGCTATCAAGTGGATCCAATGTTTGAAACGAACAGCTTACAAGTTTACAACTCACTGCAGCAGGGTTTAGAATTCAGTATTTAGGACAGAAACAAAGAGGAGTTTCCTAGAGGAAAAAGTTAAGCCCAAATCAAGAAAATGTGAGGTTGAGTTAGCAGTCGCTGACTATGGAATGAGTTCACATGATGCACTGTCTTAGCGCTCTCACCCCCGAGTCGGAAAGCACATTCCGGTTTAACTTACTTATATATGTTACAAGTGTAACTACTCAGATTATCATGTGCAATTCATAATTATGCATATTTTGCTCAACTTCAAAATTATCTCTTAAAAATTACATTTTTAACAATGGTTTTCAAATCTTGAGATGCAGAAATAAAAATAACAATAAAATGAGGGACAGAAACCACAACTATTTCTGAAAATAATTTAAGACTCCCAATTATTACTCTATCTAAACAACAAACAAAGCAATAAAATAAGGTAATGAGAGTAACCAAGCAGGACACAAGTTCATCTTTTTTAGCTGTAAACTACATTCAGGTAGCAATAAAGCTAAACCTTACTATAAAATTAGCATAACAGCCACTTTTTCTATTTTTACTTACCTGTGCAGCCTGACTATTCTGTCAGGATTCTGAGATGCTTTCTCTTCTATGAGATCTACTTTATACCTGAGAAGCAGCAAGAAAAAATTTAATTAGTAAAATACAAAAAGGAGCCCAGCCAGCGTGGCTCAGTGGTTGAACAAGATCAAGGGTTTGATTCTTGGTCAGGGCACATGCCCGGACTGCAGCCTCAATCCCCAGTGATCAATGATTCTCTCTCATCATTTATGTTTCTCTCTCTCTTCCTCCCACTTCCTCTCTAAAATCAATAAAAATATATTTTTTTAAAAATACAAAAATGAGTTTAAAGAAACCCTTTCTCATCCTCCTCAGCCAGTTTTTGAAATAACGGTTTACATTTAGAATGGTTTACAGTCCACTTACTGCCACTCTCCTTCTGCCGGAGTCCCAAGCATTACTGAGGGAGCCAATTCCCTTGCATACGTATCCCTCCCCACCCACTTCGAAGAGATGCTTCTGTCCTCTGAGAGCCAAAGCCTGATCACTAACACATGAACCAGTCAAAACTCTTCCGATCTCTCAAACTTGCCCCCAAACCATCTCCTCCCTCCCTCCCTCACACAGCCAGTTAAGTTACCAAAGTCCTGCACGCCTCTGCTGGACTCTGGCAGCTTACAGGAAAGGCAAACCCTAGTGCACATGGCATGAAAGCCTACAGTGCCGTCCACTAAGGTAGCTATGGAACACTAACATGTAATCAGTCCCAACTGAAATGTGCCTCAGTGTAAAATACATACCAGATTCTGGAGACTTAGGATGAGAAGGAGAATATAAAATACCATTGCCATTTTTAATGTGGAAATAGCATTTTAAATATAGTTTAAATAAAATTTATGATTAACTTCACCTTTTTTTTATTGATTTTTTAGAGAGAGAAAGAGAGAGGGACAGAGAGTTAAAAACACCGATGAGAGAGAAACATCAATCAGCTGTCTCTTGCACACCCCCTACTAGGGATGTGCCCGCAACCAAGCCGACACTCTATCCACTGAGCCAAACCAGTTTCAGCAACTTCACCTTTTTTAAACTTTTTTTTAATGTATCTTATAGAAAATTTAAAGATAGTTCACATTTTTATATATAAATATTGATTTCAGAGAGGAAGAGGGAAAGAGATATAGAAACATCAATGATGCCAAAACTGGTTTGGCTCCGTGGATAGAGCGTCGGCCTGCGGACTGAAGGGTCCCGGGTACGATTCCGGTCAAGGGCATGTACCTTGGTTGCGGGCACATTCCCAGTAGGGGGTGTGCAAGAGGCAGCTGATCGATGATTCTCTCTCATCGATGTTTCTAACTCTCTATCCCTCTCTCTTCCTCTCTGTAAAAGATCAATAAAATATATTTTAAAAAATAAATAAATAATAATAAACATTTAAAAAGAAACATCGATGATGAGAGAGAATCATTGACTGGCTGCCTCCTGCATACCCCCAACTGGGGATCGAGACCACAACCCAGGCCTGTGCCCTTGATTGGAATAGAAACTGGGCCCCTTCAGTCCCAGGCTGATGCTCTATCCACTGAGCCAAACCAACTAGGGCAGCTCAGATTTTATTTCTATTGGGTAGCATGACCCTAGAATTTTGGCATGGTGATCTGATATATTCTGGTAATCCAAGGAATTTCTTATAGAATCAATGGTGGTTTGGTTCTATAGTACTACCTCAATATTTTTACTCTCATTCAGTTAAAATAGTGTATAAATACTGGTTTCTAAATACACTGGTTCCAGAATATGTTAGAAAAAAAAATAAAGAGTTCCACAGGTTAATACATTTGAAAATTATTGTTTTCTATATCCACTTTGGGAAGGTTTACAGTAAATTTTTTTATGTCACCATCCTCTGAATTCAGTATGTTTCTCAGTATATTAACTAAAGTCTAATGGGAGAATACTCCTGTCGCAAATCACTTTGAAAAATGCCAAGCCAGCGTATCAATTAGGGAGGCTTTTATGACTAATAAAAGCTCAATTTTTTTTATTTTTTTTCCAACAAAATTTGCTTTCATTTAGACTTTTTTTCCTGAATTTTTATATTCAGCTTTTAAGACTATAAAAACAATTTTTATTTTCAATCCTCACCCGAGGATATTTTTTCATTTATTTCCAGGGAGAGTGAAAGGGAGGAAGGAAGAGGAAGAGGGAGAGGAAGAGGGAGAGGGAGAGGGAGAAGAAAAGGATGAGGGAGAGGGAGTAAAAGAGAGAAATATCAATGTGAGAGAGACATATCATTTGGTTGCTTTCCATTTTCACACCAACCAGAGCTGGGACTTGACTGGGAATCTAACCACTGACCCTTCAGTGCACAGGCCAATGCTCTAATTGTTGAACCACACCGGCCAAGGCAAGAATATAAAAATTCTTAAGAACTGAATTTTCTATATTACATATAACTTTGGGAGGTTTAATTTCGCTTTAAAGAAAGCCAACACGTACCTGTTGTGTTGAAATATTTCTAATGCTACTTTTGCATCAACTTCCAATGTTTCAAATGGGAGGTCTTTATAAATTAAAGTAATAGCATCTTTTGTGAAAGAACGTAGGTTCTCCTTAAAAATGAAAAGTATTAACATTTGTAACAATTTCCTTAAAAGTATTTCAACATAAAGCAAGTTAACTAAATTATATGTTTAACACTGTAAATCCAACTAAAACAAAAGCAAACTAAATCTGTCAGGAAAGGAAGTTATTAATTTGCAATAATTAAGTATTTGGATCATGAAATATAGGGCTAGCAATTTCTCCCAACCCCACAAACTATAAAACTTGCAATGTATTTTTAATTAAGATATCAGCCCACATTAATAATTTTTAAAGACAATCCTATAAGAAATTTTAATAACAATTTCATTCAAATGAAATAACCTCATATTTACTACAATGATATAACAAGTAGGAATGCTAGTAAATAGTAAGATATAAAAGTCTGTTTACATTATGGGTAAAATTAAGCTTTTTAAGTGCATATGGAAAAATTGTTTATGTGATTCAGAAAGTTTCACTAGCAAATGTAATGCTACCATTAGCCCTGTGTAAAATATACCAAACTATACTGTGGGCATCCAAGTTTAAAGCTGTAGGCTCCCAACCACCACATTAACCAAGAGAGTTAATCTTCTATATTTTATATTCTGGTCATCTTGAAAACCAATATTTTAAAAAACAGTACAAGAAAGACAGCATTATAAGCAAAGGTCAAGCAGAACATAAAGCTTCCATACAACTGACCATGCTGTTGTGAGTGCCTTCGTTCATATGTCTCTATCTTAAATACACTGAAATAGTAATAACGATAGATAAGATAGATAGATTCATTCTTATAAATACCTCTAATTTCCAGTAGCATTCAACAATACTAACAGGAATCATTCTACCAAAGAAAAGCACAGACTCTAAAATTAATGCTCCAAAGGGTATACTTACTTTTGTTGGCATCCACTCATCAAGCCTCTTATCCAAAACTACATCATAGCAGAAAGCTCCAGCAATTACTGTGAATCCAACCAAAACAAAAGCAAAGTCAGATCTGTTAGGGTATAAAGTTACCAATTTGCAACAACTGAATATTTTAACCATAAAATGAAGGGTTAGCAATCTCTCCCAACTCTACAAATTATAAAAATATTACCAGTATCCCAGGTACTTGCCAGAGTTCTACTGACTTTCCCCCACCCAGAAAATTAACTAGTTTTGTACTTAAAATCATTTATTGAGATTTTCAACTATTTTTGTTTGTAAACACTTCTACGTTTTAAAAATGTGATCTATTGCAATAGTATACATACTATTGCAAAATCCTAGTTTTATCAAATTTACAAAAAATATAAACTATTTCATCTTCTCAAAATGATGGCCCTCTCCAAAGTCAGGGCCATTTCTGGTGACATAGTACAACCTAACTTGTACTGTAGCTTTCTCCAGAAGTCTATTTATACTCCCAGTTCATCATCCTCCATACGTTCGACTTGGAAATAAATGCTTCAGGTGGTAAGAAATAAACACAGAGACAACTAAATTACATAAAATTCACATTCAAGAGAAATATTCTCCTCTAATTCTATTACATTAATTATCGACAAATGGAATGTCGGTATGATGGTAATTTATACTAGAGAAAAATTATACTAGATGTACCATTTAATAATGTAGGTTTTTTTTCAATAGATGGAGTTACACATATGTTGATATATATGTGATTTGATATGTATGCTATTTTTTTGTATTGACAGCAAGCTTAAAAACTTCATCTGTCAAATTCGCTGAAAGTATTAACATCATAGACATTTTTACACTTAAAAATTTCATGCCAAAAAGAGCATTTGCGGGAAGTTTTAATTCATTACTTTTATTTTAAAGAAAAAGTTACTGTATGCTTTGGAAAGCCTATGGTGAACATGCTCCATCTCTAGATACTTGTGAACACTGGTTTAAACGCTTTAAAAGTGATGATTTCAATGTGAAAGACAAAGAACGTCCAGGTCAATCGAAAAAGTTTGAATATCAACAATTACAAGCATTATTGGATGAAGATGCGTGTCAAACTCAAAAACAACTTGAACAAAGATTAATTGCTGCTCAGCAAACAAGTTCCCATCATTTACATGCAATGGGAAAGATTTTAAAGGAAGACAAATGGGTACCACATCAACTGAAGAAAAGACAAATGGAAAACAGAAAAGTCATCAGTAAAATGTTGCTTCAATGGCACAAAAGAAAGTCTTTTTTTCATCAAATTATAACTGGCGATGAAAAGTGGATTTATTTTGAGAATCCAAAATGCACAGAATCATGCGTTGATCCAGGTCAACCATTAACATCAATTGCAAGGCCAAATTGCTTTGGAAAGAAGACAATGCTCTGCATTTGGTGGGATCAGGAAGGTGTGGTGTATTATGAGCTTCTAAAACCAGGTAAAACGGTTAATACTGATCGCTACCGACAACAAATAATCAATCTGAAACACTCTTTGATCATGAAACGACCAGAACTGGCAGAAGACATGGCAAAGTAATTTTGCTTCCATGATAATGCACCATCACACACTTCAAAACCAATTAAAGAGACGTTAAAAGATTTTGCCTGGGAAGTATTAACTTATCGCAGACCTTGCTCCTTCATATTACCAATTGTTTCAATGGATGGAACACGTACTTTCTGAGCAGCACTTCAAAATGTACAAAAAAAATGGAAAATTGGGCCTCTGAATGGTCTGCCTTAGAACAAGAAAAGTTCTATTGGGACGGTATCCACAAATTACCTGAAAGATGGGGGAAATGTATAGCTAATGATGGACATTACTTTGAATAAAGCAGTTTTGATGCTCCTCTTGAAATTATCGTGTTTTCTTTGATTACAAAATCTGTCATTATTAACCAGTATACCTAGTAAATGAACTCTGTACAACAGCAAAGATAGGTACCAAAATACTCAATGATTAAAAAAAGCATATTTATATGTGTACATTACCAGGCACTTCTGGAGCTCTGACCAAATTGACCAAGTATTCGTCTTTGAATGCCCTCTCTATCACACAGCCCATCATCATGGCACAAGACCGCCAATAAGCCTAGAGAAATAAATGTACAAAGATTCACTGAGATCTAGTCAACATTAACATTTAGGTTGACTTTCGACTTAGGAAACATTTCTCAAGTATCTGTCCATCCTCAGCACATAGCAATAAGGACCATCAGTCCATAACATTATCTATGCCGAGCTAAAACCACAAAAGAAAGAAACACCAACTTCGTGTTGTTCGCAATGTTTCTGTGCAAGATACCAGACACTATGTTTATCAACTGATAGTTTTATTATCTGGTAATAACTTTACTTTTCACCCAGGATCAAGTTAACTTGTTAATAAACATATGCTAAAGCAAAATAAATATATTTATATATACCTGTCTATAACATTTGTAAATATGGAGGGAAAACTCAACTTTCTAGTATTATTTATGATTCCTATCCTATACCTAACATCATGTACGTCACTCACATTAAACATATTTACAGCAAAGCAACCTCATTTTCCTAACACTCTTTGATCCACAGACATCCTCATACAGTACAAAGCAATGACCTTGTTGGAGTCGTAGAGAAGCTTGAGTCCTGCACACCTGCCCACCTTATGCCCCATAAAAGCACTACTATGGCTGAGCACTGACTTTTATCAGCCCTTTTCCACACCCGAGGACAGGAGTGAGCTCACCTGGCTGTGCGGCAGATTGCTCCAGAATGTATTCTACAGAACCACATTGCATACACTAAAATTAAGTATAAACATGGGCCTTGAAGGCAAGTAGCAAAATGTACTTCTTCATCCGTGCTACACAAATGTTTGTAATGTCTGCTGAACTCCAGAGACAGAATGCCTAAGTTCAAATCCAGGCTCCACGGCTTCCTAATCTGGCAATCTTGGTCAAGCTAGTGAACCTCTCAGCTGATTTGTCAGGAAAATAGAGATAATAGCACCTATTTTACAGAATTTTTATGAGGATTAAATGAGTTAATACCCATAAATCATCTAAGACAGTACCTGATACATAATACATATTCAATGTTGGCAATTACTATTGTCTGTCACTTTCTTATTTATGTACTTTATTAATTAAATACCTGCTTTGCCAGTTAAGGACAGAGTCCCATAGGGACATGATCCCTGACTTAACAAGGCCAAATTAAATATAATATTGTAATATAATATTGTACCTAGAATTTAAGTTAAAATATTTTACCTAGAGACATTAGCCACGTGTTGTGAGGTTCTAGAAGAAAGAGATTAATTCCACCAAGAAGTAACTAAGGAGGTTCTACAACGCAGGTGGCATTTTAAAAGATTAATAGGATTTTAAAAGGGAGGAAAGAAAATACTCAGAGTTGAAAGGAGAACTTCAACATAGGCAAGTAGGATAGCAAAGGATAAATTATGACCAAGTCCTCTAGTGTAGCTGGAGCAAAGAGGAAGTGGAAAGACGCATTGGGAGGTGAGGCTCGAAGGTAAGCTGAGGTCAGATCACACAGGTCAGTTCCTGGAAAGTCATGTGAACAGTTATGTAGGCAAGTTCTTTAGGGGTAAGTGACATGAACCTAGTCATGTCACTTAATAAAATTCTTACAGGACTATTAAGAATGCTTTAGTATTAAAAAAAAAAAGGGGGGGGGGGGTGGAAGCAGAGAGTTAAAAAGTTTTTTAAATAATTCAGAGATGTTCAAAGATTGTATTCCAACAGTAGCATGGGAATGAAATCACTCACTATATAGAGGGTGATCAATAAGTGTCAACTGAACAAAGACATAGATGTAAAAGGCATGCCCTATCACTTCCTCAAATAAAAATACAGAGAAATGGTATTATCTAAACTATGAAAATGCCTAATCTAACAAGTAAAACACAGTGTAGTACAGGACAAGACCTTGGCTATATTTGCACATTTCATGTTCCACAGAAAATAGATTTTCCTAAAAAGGAGAAAGAAAACACTAGGTGTAAGGGCGGGGGAAAGAGAATATGGAAACAGAAATACCTTATTAACTTCTTCTGGATCACGATCTTTGAAAGTAAGAAACTGAATTTCGCAGGGCTTGGTCAAAGGCTTATACATGTCCCACGGCTGTCCGTCTACCAGAGCCAGAATGGACTTCTTGCAGTACCACTCACTTAAATCTAGAAATTTAATAGATTGAAGGTTAAAATCTAACAAAATTCAAAGTGAGAAACTATATGTTTAAGTGCTACATTATGAAATAAAACAATAAAAGGCAAGATTCTGCAAGTTGTCTTTTTTTTTGTGGGGAGGAGGGAACATAAAAATATTATATATTACACCTGTAACCAATAAAAAAAGTACTACTCAACCCACCCAATATATTGTTGCTTATTAACAAAATTATCCAAACCATGTACAAAACTCATAAAGGCTGAGTCAAGTTTGAAATTAACTTGTCAATAATTAATAAAACAATTTTCTAAGAGCTACACTGAAATATTCAGAGAGCAGCAGCCTGGACACATTCGTATATATGCACACACAACTTAAAGGAAGAATGTATAACTATACTTTCACAGTAAATCTGTTCTAGGTGTGTTTGGGGTCTTGCTTCCAAACTCTCTCTTACTTCCCTAATTAGATGGTTTTCAAGTACACAGCTACTCAAAGCAGTGGTCACACTATAGGGTCTAAGTTACCGTATCACCCACTGCATCAATGCCATAAAGGCAGGGATCGTGTCTATTCTTGCTCACCCATCAGCATGTCCAGAGCCTCGCACCAGGCCTGAAATGTACAAGGTACTCAGCCTAACTTCACTGACCGACAGAAGGTATGAATAACAAGCAAGTCTCAGGGCAGGGGTCATGCTGAGCGTGGTTCAGAACTTCATTCATCTCTACTCGATGTGAATAAAGATCCGTAAGGGCCTGAGCTTCTCATATCCTCCTCTGTAATCCAGATACCTATCACATAGCAGAGGGTCAATAAATGCTCAAAAAAAAATAAGTAAACAAGCCGAAACCAGTTTGGTTCAGTGGATAGAGCGTCAGCCTGCAGGCTGAAGGGTCCCAGGTTCAATTTCGGTCAAGGGCATGTACCTAGGTTGCGGGCACATCCCCATTGGGAGGTGTGCAAGAGGCAGCTGATGGATGATTCTCATCGATGTTTCTAGCTCTCTATCCCTCTCCTTTCCTCTCTCAAAAAAAAAAAAAATCAATAAAATATTTTTTTAAAGTAAACCATTATCATAAATACTAATTCAAATGTCAGAGTAAACAAACATTGAGAGTGTACACTTTATGGGCCAACTTAAGCTGATAACTAAAGTCACTGAAATGGAGTCATTACCGAATTTTTCCAAAAGTTTGAACAATGCAGCTACTCATCTACTTAAGTGAGCACATGGGTGTATAACTATTTGGGGTGGGGCTTACATTTAAATACTATCAGTTCTACCAAATCTACTACACAAGCATTCTGATAAAAAATAAAAACGTAGCAGTCCCATTCCCTTCGCTGCCACACCACATCACACACAACAAACATGCTTACCCCAATCACATCCACCACAAGCGCATTTGCACGCTCACATTTACCACATTCATGCAAATGGAAACAAAAACACAGCACACAAAGAGGCAAGTGGTACGGAGGTCATTTACGTTAGCCTCTGAGGACTAGGAAGGAAAAGGAGCCAAACTAGCTGGTCACTGCAGCCAGGGCAGTCCCTTCACCCCAAATGCTTTACCGAGACCCTCATGGTGACTGAGCACCGCCTAAAGGGGACAAGCTAGCCCAACCAGTGTGGTTCGGTGGTTGAGCGTCCACCTGTGAACCAGGAGGTCATGGTTCAATTCTCAGTCAGGGCAGATGCCCCGGGGTTGGGCTTGATCCCCAGTGTGGGGCGTGCAGGAGGCAGCCGATGAATGAATCTCTCTCATCATTGATGTTCCTATCTCTGTCCCACTCACCCTTCTCCCTTCCTCTCGAAAATCAATAAAATGTAAATACATAAATAAAAATAAAAGGGACAAGCCAGCCTGATCAGTGTGGCTCCGTGGTTGAGCATCAACCTATGAATCAACAGGTCATGCATGGTTCAATTCTCCCCGGTGTCAGGCTTGATCCCCAATGTGGGGCGTGCAGGAGGCGAGCCGATCAATGAATCTCTCTCATCACTGATGTTCCTATCTCTGTCCCACCCACCCTTCTCCCTCCCTCTCTGAAACCAATAAAATTTAAATACCTAAATAAAATTTAAAGGGGCAAGCTAATGGTAACAATGTTTTCAGGTCGGCACTCTTCTACCCTAGACTTAGCCAGATTCATGCAAACACTAGCACCAGCTGAGCATGACGGGACCAATCTTTGGAGCCCCACGGCACCCCCAGGAGCTGGAGCCCCAGGGAGCGGACAACAAGGTGCCAGAGGGAGGAGACCCCCCGGGGACCTTCAGAGAGCAGCCGCAGCCTCCTCTCCTCGGCACCGCTGTAAATACATTACTTACGCATGGCACAACTGTACGGCGTGGAGACGTTCTTATTCATCACAAACGTGGTGCCAGCGTCCGTTTTCCCAACGAGTTTAACCTCGATCTTCTCCACCCGCGGAGTGAGCGATGCCTGCCTGTCTTTCTCTCTATTGAAGACGTCGTTCTGCATTTCGATCAGTTCGGTCGGGGACAGCTGAGAAGCTGCGGAGGTTGCTATCCATCCTGCGCAGAGATAACGGTACATCAAGACGCGGGAGGAAGGAAGGGATGACCCTGCGGTGCTCCCACCTCCCCATTTCCCTACAACAGTGTTTCCCAAACTTCTCTCATGATGAGAATCACCTGGTGGAGTTGTTAAACTACAGATTCCTGAATCCCAACTAAGAAGTGCTAAACCAGAATTTTTGAGAACATATACGTAAAATTGTACAATAAATAAAATTTTTAAATAAAATTGTACAATTTTACCTATATGTTCCCAAAAATTCTGGTTTAGCACTTCTTAGTTGGGATTCAGGAATCTGTAGTTTAACAACTTCACCAGGTGATTCTCATCATGAGAGAAGTTTGGGAAACACTGCCCTACAACAAGGAAGTGAACATGAACGGGACACAACAGACCGGTGGACGCCGCTGGCCCAAATGCGTGCAGCGACCCAATGAAACCAAATTAAATCACGAGGACGCCCCCTCCCCGGCCCTGACCCTCGCCAGGACTCCCGCTTGGCGCTTTGGCCTCCGCCGGACCTGCAGACCCCGCCGATGTCCTCCGTCCGGTTCCCGTCGGTGACTTACTACGAGGGGCCAACAGGGACCGGGAAAGGGGCCAAACTAGAGCCGTCGCTGGGAAGGTGAGCCAAACTGTCGCTGTGATAAGGCCTTGGGGACAAAAGTCCCCAAATCTGGGCGGGAAACGCTGAGCTTATTTTCGAAACTCCAAAGAGCAGGACTCGAATCTTTCCAATCTTTCCAAAAATCGGGACTTAAAATTAAGACGCCACGGGTCGCGGGCAAAATTGTTGAAAATCGAGACTGTCCCGCCAAAAGCGGGACGACCTGGTCACAAGATGCAAAGGGGAACGAGGACATGGTGCACCGGGACGTGGGCTCCTTTGCAGAGGCTCCCCAAGCTCCAAGGCCACCCGCCCCCGTCCTCCGCGCCCCCGGGATCTGCACCCTCAGGCCCGGAGGGGGCCCCGGTCGCCGCAGCCGGGACTTTAGAGCCGCCTCCGCCTCGAACCTGCAGGACCTCACGGGGCCCGCCTCCGGCCCAACCTGGGCGGCCCCATCCTCTAAGCCCCGCTGCCCGCCCGCACGGCCGCTGGAACTCACGCCAGCCCGCGCCGCCCCCGGGGACGGCCCGCCAGAGCCGCGACCCGCAGAGCCCCACGGCCATCGCTTCCGCCCCGACCGCAGGCGCCGCCGCGCGCTGGTTCCTCCTGGGTCCGCTTCCCCCCGGAAACGCGGAGCGCGCACTCGGGTTCCGGGGACAGTTCCGTTCCGGCCCCGCGCTCGGGCTGCGCGCCACACGCGTCCTCACCCTCCCCCGTCTGCGGGTTCGAGCCCGGCCCACGAGCGAAATGCTTGCTTCCCGCAAACAATATGCTTCTGGGGAGAGACATTGGCAAAAGGCAGCTTCCGTTTACTCTTGCTTTCGGGGTCAGCCCGGCGGGCCACGCTGATGACATCTTCTAGTTCGTGGCTTAGCTCGCGGTTTTGCAAGGATGGGTGTTTAGGTCGCCTGCACCGGGTCTGCGCCCGGGTACCCCCATTTATTTAGCCAGGATGTCTCTGTTCACTTAATAGATTTTTCAGTGGCCCTAGCTAGTTTGGCTCAGTGGATAGAGCGTCAGCCTGCGAACTGAAGGATGCCCGGTTCCATTCCGGGTAAGGGCACATGCCTGGGTTGCAGGCTCCATCAAATGGGAGGGGTACTGGACGCAGCCAATCAATGATTCTTTCATCATTGGTGTTTCTATCTCTCTCCCCCTCTCCCTTCCTCTTCGAAATTAATGAAAATGTTTGTGTGTGTGTGTTTTTAAATAGATATTTGGGTGAATGAATGAATGAATGAACGGATGCCCTTGCAAAAAGTTGCAGAGCAACTAATTCCTTTGTCATACCAGAGTGTTACTGCTATTGAAGTAAGCATTCCATAGGTAAAGTGTGGGAATGCTCTTATTCAGCTCTAGCTGGTTTGGCTCATTGGGCAGAGCATCTGCCTGGGAGCTGAAAGGTCCAGGGTTTGATTCCAGTCAAAGGCAAATACATGCCCAGGTTTGTGGGCTCCATCCCCAGAAGGGGGCGTGCAGGGGGCAACCAGTCAATGATTCTCTCTCATCACTGATGTTCCTATCTCCCTCTCTCTCCATCTATGAAGTCAATGAAAATATATTTTTTAAAAAAAAAAAAAAGAAATGCTTTTATTCAAAGTTGTTCAACGCTGAGACTTTGCTCGAGGCGTGCAAATTGACAAATGCAGCCCTTGGCTTTTTCCCCCTCGGCTCTTTGACTTGCAATGAGAATATACTACCACCAGGGGGAAGCACCGAGCTTAGGAACATGTAATAAAACAGGGAACTGAGCTAAAATGTTTGAAAGCCACAAACTCCAGTTATAAAAGTACCATGGATGTAATGTATAACATGGCGACTATCATTAACAGTGCTGTATTGTATATTTGAGAGCTGCGAAGGGAGTAAGTCCTGAAAGTTCTCATTACAAGGAAGAAAAAACTTTATTACTTTATGAAGTGATGGATGTTAACTTATTGATTTTGCAACATGTACCTTAAACCTAAGCAGTGTTGCATATCACTTATAAAACTTAAATTTTAAAAAGAACCATACCTAGATAGACCTGCCTACATGACCCGGAATTTATTTCACAACTGTGCAGGGAAAGTGTAATTTATCTTCACTTTTAAAGTGAGAAATGCAAGAGTTGTTATTCAAATATTTTGATTTTACATTTTAAAATTAGTGCACATGTTCTTGCTTGGAAAATTTTTTAAAAAAATACATTATAAGGTACCCCAGTGAAAAGTCTCTCCCCCAGCTCTTTTCCCCATTCACAAGTTCTTACCAAAACCTCCCATAGGATGGCACCATTATTACAATAATTTCTTGTGTATACTTGAGAGCTCTTGATGCCTCTCTCTGATAATTCAAATATAGACATAGAGTTAAATGGGTAAGGATTTTATTGGGGGAAATACCTGTGAGAGACAACGGGAAGAAGCCAAGTAAGATTGACTGCACGTGAAATGGAGAAGGAAGGAAGGTAGAGTGGAGGCATTCTTGAAGACTTGTGCAACCTAAAGAAGATTCCTTAGCGGGAGGCGAAGGTCTTGAGCCAAAGTCAAACAAAAGAGGGGCCCAGTGTCCCAGGAGCAGGGGTGCCTCACAATCCCACCACACTCAGACTTCAGCTAGGAGCTGGGCGGGGGGCAAGTCTGAGCAAACATGATGGATGTCCTTCATGTCATAGTTTTGTCAACAACTGGGGAATTCAGTCAGTCATGCTCCCTGTAAGTGAAGGTTAGTGAAGCACAAATAAGCTGTATTTCCTAAATCAAATAATGGAAGAAGCACTTGCTACGTGTTTACATTCCCTGCATAGTCACACACACACACACACACACACACACACACACACACACACACATGTGCTTCCACCTGTCCTGACAGGTGAGAATGGACTTGCTACTCCTGAGAAATGAGAGAAAGAAGCAGGTGCAACCCATGGCTTTTCTTCCCATTCATATGTCATACCCTGAGGCTTAATGGTACCTTTACTTCAACATCATTTCTTACCAGCTGCTCAGTGGGCTGAGATGGCATGGAGTGTGTGTGTGTGTGTGTGTGTGTGTGTGTGTGTGTGTGTGTTCAGTTTCTGGAGAAATGAAATGCAGTCAAATATAAAGATGCACACATAGTTCGCTTCTGATACCACTTCTTAAACCATCTCTTTCCTCCTTATATCTCAAGGAAATCTTCCCAGCTCTTTCCCAGCTGTAATGAGAACCAAGGATCCAGATCACCAAGGTTTAGACTTTCTCATGGGTAATATTTTATCTTTCATTTTACAAAAATAAAAAAAGTGTGTGGAAATTATGTTAAGAAAGTCAGTTTTTGCATTTCTTACCCTCAATGACAAATAGTATGAGTAATTCACTAAGTCTGGGGGAAAAAATCATAAATTAAGCCACAAGTTGAAGGGATTATGGGTAGTAAGGGGCATTTGTTCCACCCCCTCGTCTACCACGTAGAGAAGATGAGTTACAGAAAGACTAGTGTTTGGCTCAAGGTCATACAGAATGCTAGTGTAGCATCTGAGATAATTGGAAACACCGGGGTATGCAGAAAATGCCAGGACTCCTAAAATTGGCATCTGCTCTCTAAAATGCTCCGAATCATCCCACACAGCAGCAGCCACACCAAATCCGTCATGTCATAGTCTTGTGAGCACTGCGAGAATTCTGCTCCATTTGCTTTGGGTTTCAAAAATGTACTAATCCCCCAAACACATGTTAATATGGATGCTCTTTGATGAAAAGAGACAGATATATTCTTCAACTTTTTCTTCGCCTCATGCCACCCCCATCCTATTTCACAATGAGAAAGCCTGTCAGACCCCCTACAAGCTCACTTAGGGGCTTTTAGGATGGGGGTTCATGGCTCCTGGGAGCAGGGGGAGGATTGGCTAAAGTAATGCTCTTTTGGTGAAACAAAAGACTTTCCTCCAGAATCCTTCTTTTTTAATTATACGTACATTTTCCCCCTGCTTTAAGGTCCTGAGTTTTCCTGTCTTGTTCCTTATCCCTTGGCTGTGACACCTCTCCATCCTTGAACTCCCCTGAAAACCATGCAAGCTGAGTGCTGACCACCCAAAGCCACCTACACCCACTGACTAACTCATAAAGTGCAGCATGGGAAGGAATCAAGCCTAGGTTAGTTCCCACGTTGTCTTCTCCTCCTCCTCTTCTTCTTTTTCTTCTCCTCCTCCTCTTTTTCCTCCTCTTCTTCCTCCTTCTTTTAATACATTTTTATTGATTTCAAAGAGAGGAAGGTAGAGAGAGAGATAGAAACATCCATGATGAGAGAGAATCATTGATCAGCTGCCTCCTGCACGCCTCCTACTGGGAATGAGCCTGCAACCCCAGCGTATGCCCTGACCAGATATCACACTGCGACCTCCTAGTCCCTAGGTGGACACTCAACCAGTGAACCACACCAGCTGGACACATCTCTCCTTCTTAACCCCATGACCTTGTTAATTCCAGGACAAGCAGAACAGGGAAACTAAGACAGCAGTTTGCAGTCACCTAGTAAGTCCTAGCTTCCCTAAACCAAGGACACTTAAGAGTAAATGGCTCGCACTGCTCCCCAACCAGAGGGTAAATAGTTTAAATCACCCTACTCGGGGAGACAGATAACAGAAATACAATTCGTGCCATTTGCCAACCACAGCCAAGGACAGATTAAGAGAATAAATCTTATTTGGTTCACCAGCAAAGCTTGATGAACATTGATCCTACCCTAAGACCTACCCTAAATGCTCAGCCTTTAAAACCCCTGAAAATGAAAGTCCCAGCATGCTCTCTCGCCAGGACGCACATCCATGCCATTCCCTTCCCCCCACAGGCACATGCCTCCTAAACTCCGAGGAGACTTGTAACCAGGGGAGCGATGGGCAGCAGCAGCTCATCCTGGGCCAACCCCCTGAACCTGCCCCAAGGTCCCCTTTTCTCTGGCTTCTTAGTGAGCCAAAGCAGCCCAGCCGAGGCTCTGCTGTTGCTTCTGTGCCCTTCCTTGTTCCAGTGCTCTTGCTGCGGTCAGTAACTTCTTGCTTGCTTTTCTACACTTTGTCCCTCCATTGAAATCTTTCTTTCAAGATAAGAACAGAAGTTTCATCCTCAGCTCAAGGGTAACAATCGGACAAGTTGAACCACAGTAACCGAAAGCTACGCTTCTCATACATCTTTGAATTTGTGATTGAGGTCCAAGGTTATAACCTCTAGTCTACCATCTTTCTTTCTTTCCAACAAACACCTTTCTTGTTTTATATGCAAAAGCTTTTTTTAACCGGGCCTGGCATTTACCTGTTGGAGTCATTGCAGAACATGCAAATTCAAAGCCAGTAATTTTAGCTTCTTAAAAATCTTATCACTTTTTGGTTCAAAGGGCTGAATTTCATCTCTAAATTCTATTCTAAAGGCTTGTACTTTTTTTTTAAAGCATAAAAGCATCTTTATTGATGTTATTATGGCCATAGCTACCTATACCTACAGAATTCTCCAACACTGTTACCTATAATACCCTGGACATAGGAAAGGAACTAGTATTTTTCAGATGCAGACATGTCTTCTTTCAAAGGCTCTGGTATGAGTGGGAGTGGGGGACCCATAATGAACAAAAATAAGAAAACCATAAACATTTTATATACATGCAAAAAGGCAAACACAATGACAAAAA